GATAAATAATAAAGAAGGTGTAAAAGAGAGCGAGTTTTTTTTTGGATAAATAATAAAGAAGGTGTAAAAGAGAGCGAGTTTTTTTTTGGATAAATAATAAAGAAGGTGTAAAAGAGAGCGAATTTTTTTTTTTTTTTTTTGGAAAAAAAGGTTGTAAAAGTAAGAGCGCGTTTTATTTTATTTTTAGAAGATATATACACACATTTGATCGTGCAAATCTTTATCAGGAAAGTACACACGGATTTGTAAAATAATTATGATTAAATGAGCTTCTATACTGTTTAAGGAATATTACCTGTCGAGTGATCGAAACTTTTTTATTGAACTGCAGTTAATAAGTCTGCGCATACAATATATTTCCTTATTTGAAGCTTTTGGATGAGATTCTGCTTTTTTTGGTTGGAGAAGGCAAACTGTTCAAGGCTTGCTTGGCGCTTAAAGTCGTACATGATTAGTTACACGCGATATTACGTAGTAGTATCAATTTCTTTATTACATCGATAATATTATTGGCCGAAATTTATAATTTTGATATTAAAAATATAATAAAATAAACGGAATTAAAAATTAAAAAGATTCAATTTTAAATAAAATTAATAATTAAAGATAAAAAAAAAAAAAAAGTAATAAAAATCAAATTCAGTGATGAATGCTTGAAAACGTATTGACCACCAAATAATTCATAAAGCTAACGTTCTATCAAGGAAATTTAAATACAATCTTCGAACGTTTAGTGATACTGGGAATGTTGAAAGCATTACAAAAAGGGGAATGGTCATACTTCTGGAATTACCAATTCGGCATATCGAAAATAACCAATTAAAAATTTTTTTAGACGAATTTTGCTCAAAAAGAAAAAGGCGACATTTTTATTTTTAACAAATAATGATAGAGGGCTTAAAAATGTCCCTAAGCATATTAGTAAGGAGCTTTCAAGCCAATGTGCAGTACCATTCAACAGTCAGAGAATCAAGAACATCGGCAAGATTTAGAGAACCAATTTAAAGTATGGTTGAGTAATAGGAGGAGGATGTTCCAGATTCTAGTTTTACAGTTCTCATAATACGTACCTTAAATGAAATTATAAAAAAATAAGACAGGCAATTATTGGGATATAATTGTCCGCAATTATCATTGATATTCGTTGGAATTTAATTGCAATTTTCATATAATTGTTAATTTAACAGAAATATAATAACGTATTACATGCATAATTAAAGTAAAAAATTTATTACTTTAATTTTAGTAATTAAGAAACCAAAGGTAAATAATTGTAATTTTAAATTTTATATATTATATAATTTTATTTTTGAAAAGATATTTGTATTTTAATATAAAATATTGATAAGATTTAATTCATTTCTTAATAATAGTAATAGTTTTTTTTAGTAAGATCTTTTAACTGAACTTATATATTTTATTTATATTTTTAAATAAATTAATAAATCTACAGTAATAAATTTAATTTATTACTTATATAAATTAATAAATAATTAATAAATTTCTAATTTATTTTGATCTTCTGAATGAAGATTTGGATTATTATATATTTCATCATCTATAAAAATGATAAAAATTTAGAATTTATTATTTTATTTAAATAATATAAAATAAAAATATATACCTTCAAATTGTAATATTCTATTTTCTTTTTTTTAATTTAAAAATTAATAATTAATTATAAAATGATATTTTTTAAGAAAAAGATTGTAATTAATATTATGAACTTATTATTTTATTAAATATTATAATAATATAAAATAAAAAATATATACATTTTTTAATTTAAAAATTAATAATTAATTAAAATGATGTTTTTTAAAAAAAAAAATTTATAATTAATATTATTTTACTTACTATTCTTAGAATCTTCTTCTGATTTTTTATAGATTCTAAATAATTTTTTACTATAATCTAATTTATTCAAATAAATTTATTAATATTTTTCAAATATTAATTTTAAAAATTAAATAATAAATAATTACCTTTAAAAAATTTACTTGTTTTTGAAACTTTCTTTTTTTTCGTATTTTTTATACTGATTTTATCAAAATCACTAACTAAATTAAAAAATTTAATTAATAATTTATTTTTAAATAATATTTATTAATTATCAAATAAATATTTACTATTATCAGGAATGTCAAAACTATAAGGTTTTCTATGAAATGCTAGTGAAATTAAGAAGTTTAATTTAATATATACAGTATACAAATACTTTAAATTTAAAATTAAATAATACCTTCTTGTTCCTCTATTTAAATAAATTAGTATTTTGTGATTATATAAATTCATCTTTTTAAATTAAAGCATTTAAAAATATATATATACTAAAAATCATACCTTCTATTGCATTACTTGTAAGAAAAGATTCAAATTTTCTTGTAGAAAAGATACTACTTGTAGAATTTGTATCTAAACTTAATTTTCTATTTGAATAATTATATTTATTTGACAGATCTGATTTAGATAACCTTTTTTTAAAATTAAAATATTTTGTAAATAAATTTCTATTACTATCTAATTTATTGAAATATGATTTATTAATTTTTTGCATTTCACAAAAAAGAGTATTAATATTAGGCCTCTTTAATAGATCAGTATTCTAACATTGTTCCATTAATTTCCTATAAGCTAATGGAGTTTTTGATACTATAGTTAGCCTTATTGAATCATTTATTATTTTCTTTGCAAGTTCATAATCATCAAATTCAGCAAAGGGTGATTGTCTAGAAGAAATTTCCCACATAAGCATACCGATGCTATAAATATCAAATGCAAAAGTATATTCTTTTTTTAAAAGAATTTTAGGTGCTATATAAAGAAGATTTCTGTAAATACCATTTAAGTGCTTATCAATAGGACCGCAGAATCTGAAATCATTAATATATCATTTATGAGTTATAACGCTATATAATATATTTCCAGAATACAGATCCCTATGTATTAAGTTTTCTGTATGTATTCTAAAATGTGCTTAATTATATCAAAAGCAATCACAATTCTTTCTTCCCATGCAAGTAAATAATGATTTTGTCTTAAAAACTTTCTCTAAATTGTATCCATTTTAAATGTTACGAGCATATAATTTTTACTATCTGGATCTTGTGATATGCCAAAACATTTTACTACTTCTTCTCATTTATTACTCATATTTATATGTGATTTTACCTGAAATAATGCCAAACCATTGTTAACTTTTTTAATTAAAAATATTATTGAACTTTCTCAAATTGCTTACCTCATCAAACCAAGTTTTAGAATTTTCTTGCTTTTTAAGTATTACTTCACATTTACCAAATCTTTTCAATTGTCTTTTCTTAGTATCCCATTTAACATAGGGTCCAGTGATCTAATCTGCTATATAAATATTAGAGAATCCACCACGAGTTAAGTAAGTAATATTTCGTAGATTTTTATACGGAATCCATTCTACAATCTTATCTGGTGCAATTGTCTCCAATTGACATTTTTGTATGAAGTTATCAATTTTACTATTTTCAGACATCTAATCCAAAAATTTTGTTCCCAAGTAAATTCGAATACAATTTTCACAATATGATATTGCAAAGCATTTTTGAAAACAATTTTCACAATTTCTTGTTGTTCCTTCATTTGAAATGATTTTATAATAAGTATAATCATCTTTTAATATTTTTAACATCTCCAATTTTGATATAAAATCCTTTGTAAGAGTTTTATCATTAAAAATAGTTTTTTGTAACAATTCAAAAATTCCTTGAAGATTATCGTGAATATCATAATCTACTAATGCGTATGCTCTATTAATTGCAGCAAAAACTAATTTACTTGGAATAGCAGAAATATGATTTATCATTATCAGCTGTTTCTTATTTTCATTTTTTTCATTTATATTTGGAGAAATAAACGTAAATTCTCCTAAATCCATGCTATCTAAATTGTGAAGTAACTTAGACATGATCACGCTTTTAGAAGATTATTTTTTGAAGATTGATTTTTTATTTCATCATAATTATTATTTTGATAATCAAATTTTATATTTTCTGTATTTTCCGTAAGAATATTACTTTGCAACCTATCAATAACTTACTAAATATCTGGACGCTTAGCTGGATCACTATCCCAATAATCTATAAAATATTAATTAATAAATTTAAATAAACTATTTCAAGATAAAATTTGTAACAAATATTTTAAATTAACTGTATAAAGCTTGATGTATTCTTCAGGAGTTTCTTTGATATTTTCTTCACGTAATTCTTGTATAATATCTAACGCTAAAAGTGCATCATAATCTCTATCTGGATTAGGAGGATATTCACTTGACAATTCCCAAAATATTACACTAAGACTATAGACGTCACTTCTTTTATCTAACTTATATCCTATTTTTTCAAGCCTTTCAGGATCAATGTATGGAATTACATCAGATAATTTATTAGCCGATTTTGAAGTTTCTGCAATCCTTCTTGATAGCCCAAAATTTGACAACTTTATTGTATTTCGATGAACTAAAATGTTATTTAAAGTCTAATATAAATGAAGAATAAGTTAATAGTGTAAATGTTAATATTAAAGTAAGCACGCTCAATTACCAGATCACGGTGAACAATTTTCTCATTATGCAAACATTCTATAGCAGTAGCAATTTGAAATGCTAGTTCATATTTGACATTTCACGTCAAATTGTTGAATTTCTTATCTAATAACTTCTAAGAGAACCACCATCAGCATAATCCATTACTAACATGTAATTTATATTTTTGATATTTGAATTTTCTAGAAAAGCAAAAAAAAAAAGTATTTAATATTTAATTTTATTATATTTTTAAAGATAAAATATAAATAAATGTTTTTTTCATACCAACATAAGTAATACATTTAGTTATTCCAAAAAGTCGTATGACGTTATCATGAAAATCAATATTATGTTGTAATTTAAGCTGATTTATTGTGATTTATGTATTGATTAATAAACAAGTAAATTTTTTCTTTATGAAAAAAAAAATTCAATATTATTTACCTTATTAATAATTTCTTTAGTTGTAACATTATCAACGTTTATAAATTCTTTTAAAACAAACCATTTTCACATATAATATGCTTTATAAATTTGACCAAAACTGCCAGAACTGATCTTTTGAATATCATTAAATGTTCTATAGTTGTAAAATCGTATATGATCATTACTTATTCCACTTTTAAGCCAATTAGTAGACTCGTTTTCATTATTTTTGATTGATTGAGTCATATTTGTTTATGTTAAGGAATTAAAAAAATAAACAAAATTTTTTTTTTGCTTTATTTTCGGATCTTCATAATATGGCTTTATTTCCTTTTATTTCGTGAAATGAAGTATAAGGTCAATCAACTTTCATGATAAAAGCATGGATTTTCTGATCTCATTCTAATTTGAAACATACAAAGAGGAACATTTTAATATAAAACTCCGATTAAATTCAACTGAAGGAAAAAAAAAAGTATAAAAATTAATTTTCTTACAACTTGACTTTTCTATTACTATTTATCAATATCATCAGGAAAATTATTTTACACTCATAATTATATATGAAAAGTAAACAAACTAAATTTTATTCACAATAATCATAAAAATTACTACAATTTAAACATAATCTGAAACATTTTCCTCTTAATAAGATCGACAATTTCAATTTTGCACATAATTTTTAGAATATAATAATAACGACGTAAGAATGTTCTTGAAATGGAATATCTGTCTAAGTTAAATTTAACCAGTTAATTAACGGGCCAGTTATAGGATTTTATTAACTGGTTAGGAATTCTAACCTTTAAAAGGTTCTTCTGAAATTTAATAATGATAACTAGCCAGTCTTTTTTTGTATCAGTAGCTACATTACGTTTTATTAATAAAATAATTTTTTTCGTAAATGATTATTAGTCAATCATAAAATGTGATTATAATGCATGCATTGATACGTGTAATAACGTTATGTCAGAACTTTTTAATCTTTTTAAATTTCGTCGTAAAGGATATTTGATTTATAGAAAACGTTGGAGCCTGCTGTTAGAGACGTCTTCTAACCTTTTATACTTGTTTATAACATCATTATCAACCATGAATGCAGAACGATCAAGATGTGATATGTTTACGTTATTCCAGACGAGACATCTACTAAGAGCGACATATGCCTGACTGGGAGAAAATATGGATAATATTCTATTAAAATTGAGGTACGGATCATATGATTTACTATGTTTCGTAACCCACTTTTAATAGATCAGCTCCCATATATTTCCATCTAAGGCAAGAGTTATCCTCAGAAGGGTTAAGCTTGGTGTTTTATGAACGGTAAGAGCGAATGAATTTTGCAAGGGAAACTGGATACATTGACCATTATATCCATTTAGTTGGAAGTAGTTGGTCTGCTTGTAGATAACTATATTGACTATTGAACCTCTTATAGAAAATGCAACCCATACTGAATCTTCGTCAGTATCAACATCGGTGATTACTCCTATCGTACTGTTACATACTCCTTGGTCGATGATCGTATTATTCAGATACATCACTCGAGCGTCCGGTTAAAGATGAATGCAAAAAGGGAGATTCATCTTCGATTTAAAATATAATCGGAAAAAGACGATTCCCACCTAACAGAATCTACGATATCGATCGCTTTAGACATGATGAATCGACCATCTGGAACTAAAAGAGTATTACAGATCATCGTATTGATCTGTTGTGACGTTTCTCTGAAACCAACGATGTGGGTGGTGTTGAGTTGGTTTTGGATCGAGGACCTAGTGAAGAATTCACATGACATCTATCTAATGTATTCCAAGTTTCAGCAGATATAGAACCTATTCGAATATTTTGCACCATTTTATAGAATACAGGATCGTTCTGTTGGTGTTATGGATTTCTTAGGAACAACAGATAGAATAAAGGCCAAGCTACTGAGCGGAAGATATGTAAACCAGTTATTGGAGGGAGTTGTGTTAGGTCACCTGCGATGATGACGTTTATACCACCGAAAGGAATGGAGTTGTTGTGGAGGTTCGCGAAAGTTTTAGAGATGAAATCAAAAAGATCTGCAGAGATCATGGACACTTCGTCGATAATGAGAGTGTCGATATTTTTTAGTTGATTGTTTAGTTCAGTATCAGCGTAAGCACGTGTACAAAAGGTCCCACCGGTTAAATTGATGCGTAAAGCTGAGTGAATTGTTTGCCCTCCAATATTTTGGCTACCATTCCTGTAGGTGCAAGTAAGAGGTAAGTTGATGATCGTCTTTTTAGCATGTTGATTATCATATTAATGATGAAAGATTTTCCAGTTTCCTCTGAGCCTGTGATGAAGAAATAAGGCCATTTGATTCCATCATTGGGACTCATGTAGGTAGCGATCGTTGACAAGATTTGATATTGGTCTGGTGGTAATTCAAGCATGGCTGTCATCGGATAGATATGAGGGAGTATCTTTAAATCTTCCATCTGAATTTGTATTATGCGATGAAGGTTAGATAGGAGTTGAAGGGTTAGAGAATTTAACAAACGATCCAACATCTCAGCGAATTGATTATTTAATCGAATCATTTGTAATTGATGTTGATTATGAGTTTGATCTTGGAGTTCGGATAGGAAATCAGGGAATAATTGGAGGAACTTTTCGCGATAAGTTCCATCTTGTTGACTCTTGTAATCATTCTCATTTCTCACAGGAACGATCAACAGCAAACGTTGATAAAAGTACAATTCTCTGTCTTCTATATTGAGGAAACGGTACTTAGTCAAGATATCCTTTGATCGTTTAATGACATAGTTGGATAGGTCGTCTCGGTGGATTTGTCGAGAGGTATTAAAAGGTCTGGATAGAGAAATCGAATATCTTTGAAAGTATTTATCGTATTTTAGGAGTTCGAATTCAGAGGAGTGAGGACGTGATAAATATTTGGTAATGGTATCATCATAATGTGGGTTGTCGTCATCTTTACGCATGATGTAAATGGGAAGTATCGCCCGTGTTCTCATAGGAGGAGGATCAGTGGTGAGGAATTAGATATTCGTGAACGAGTTACAGATCATATGTCATAGTAGTAAGAACATAAGCTCTATGGAACTCAACCTGCGTGCGATGATATGCTGCCTCAGGAGATCATTTTCGTAGATGTTAAATATGTGTGAAGGTTCTGTTTTCACGATGTATTTTGACATGTACCTAGTGAAATCTTTATCAGTTATATATTGACAGTTCATATTTGCATTCCATAGTAATAGAGTTAGAGAATGATATAGAACAACCCACAAATCAGTTTGAGTTAGGCATTTGTAGATATACTGGAAGTTACCTTCTTCATAATGTGTTATCAGACTGAAAGGTCGAGGAAATCCTTTCTTGCAAGTTTGACCTAGAGCCGGAGGTCCTTGGCAATGTAAGTTGCAAGTGTGAATCTGATTCGCAATAACTGCAGCGTAAAGTTCAGGTTCGTATAAAGGATCCAGAACTGTCGAACATATAACATCTGCAGAGATCATATCTTCTATCGAGTTAGTTGTCCAATAGCACTATGGGTGTGAGCGGCTCCTCTGTTCTGGAATTCAACTTGATCAAAAAAATCAGTAATCTCACTGAATCCCGTGTGATCAGATTTTTTATAGAGTTCTTTCTTTAGGGATTGAAATCTGTGGACGAAGTAGTTTGTGTAGTGAAAAGGCCTATTTGAGGGTAATGTGTCTCGATTATCTGAATTAGCGAGTATATTCATTAGGTGAGACCAGCGATGTTCGGCCATACTTAAAGTAATGAATAAGGTTGGTAAACCCAGTTTATTGATCATCAAGTTCAGGTGAAGTTGCTTTCGATGAAAATATGTGTCGCCAGTTTTTATAAAAGAAGGAATGGGAACCGTACTCGATTCGTCGATTATATTACACGATGAGTAGGCACTTGGCTGGAGTAATTGCCTTGCAGTTGGTAAGTTCGTTCCATTATTTCTGAGGAGATTCTTTTATCGAAGCAGTCATTGCATGTTCTGATGGTGTCTCAACTTTTCTAGTTGCAAATAAGATCACGAAGGCTAGTGATGGTGAAGCCTCTATCTCGAATCGATATTCATCAGTCGTAACTTGATATACTTGCCATAAGTTTCATCACGAAATTCATCATCAACAGATTGATCTGAAGTGTTGTAAAAGTGATCCTTTCCATCGGTAAAGAGATCTGGGAAAAGAAGGAGTTTCAGGTTTGGATCGTAGGTCGAGATAGAAATCCGTAAGTTCTCTGACTCACAGATGAATTCAGCAATCAATCTGGTATAATGGAAGTCTTCATTGTGGACTTCATCAGGAAGATCGTAGTTTGGCACTACTACATCTCGTGGATTGAAAGGAGGAGCGGTAGGGTTATTTGGAATGTGCCTGGCTCTCAGAAAAAGTTTGTTCAGATACGAACATCTACGAAATAAGGACAACAGATCAGCAAAAGGTTGAAGGTATGGATTATTTTGCGTTAACCAGGAAGCGACACGTCATAGGATCAGGTCATCAGTCAAATGGTCAGACTGGTTTGAGGTAGTAGATTCGAACCCAAGATCATCAGTAGGTTCTAGGATGGCACCTAGAGTTCCAGAGTATAAGGCGTGTACTCTTACGTTACAGGAGTAATCTATAACTCCCGTTAAACTCCGATATTTTGAAAATGGGTTACTATTTGGTGATCTTTCTAACGTGTAATGGAGGTAGATGGGTGATAGATACTTTCTTCTGTGTAATGGTACAGAAGCGATTTCATAAAGCATAGGTGAAAGGTGAGGGAAGTTAAATCTGGTGGATGGTCTTTTACACGATTCACAAGTTGGAACTCTAAATTCCAGAATTCGATCTTGGTTTGGATTAAAGGATGATGATATATCAATTAAGGGGATTTGTTGTTGTATAGGATAAAGGAACGAAGGGTTGTAGAATGACCAAGAGGCTTTCTCAGAATACAATAATTTTCCACAGTATACGCATGTGATTCTGGAATATTGAGTTAGAATGTTATTTTGAAAGCGGTCGTATAACCTCTGGAATTTGGTTAAAGGTCTCTAGTGAGGTAGCCGAACGTTCATTTGATTAATTGGATCAACGTTCATGATGGTATTCTCTAAGTTTAAGCGAGATCCATTGTTATGATCAGATTGTTGAATGAAGAGGTTCGAAACAGGTTTGTACTCAGTATCGAATATATAGATATCATTGATCTGATGGATCATTTATTCGCTAAGTATTATTTATTAATGGTTCTTTTTTAATTTTTATTTTAAATATATATATATTTTTTTCTTTGTGATCAGAAGAACAATTTTTTCTAATTTCGTTTTTTTTCTCGTGATTTTATTTGCATAAATTCATTTATATTCAAGCTAACACGAATCATTTGAATGATGATAAATAAAATATTTGTTAGACAAACAGATTAAACAGCAAAAAAAAAAGAATCTAAATTGGATAACGTATTGTCCATTGGGAACATAATGCAAAAGATTGATAATTATATAAAAGCAGGTAGGTTCATTCTCATTCATTTAAAGAAAAACAAATTTTTTTATTCGTTTAAACTTAAAAAAAAAAAATATTTCAATAAAAAAAAATCTTTATAAATGCCCCAATTATTCTTTCACTTTATTTTAAATTAAATTAAATCATTTAAAAAAAATGTCACATTTGACTTGTAATAAAAAAAGTCATAAATCTTAAATAAAAAAATAAACATTTTTTTTCTTAAATAAAAAAAAAAACAAAAATTTGAACGATTATAAAATTATCGTCATTTTCAAAAAACGTGAATTAAATATATAACGTTAATTAAAACAAAAAATTAATCTTAAAAACTATTAAGAAAAAAAAACTAAAAAATGAAAATTCATTCCGTTTCTTCTTGCAGAATTTCTACTGAGTTTTTGGCGTTCGAAAGAGGTATCGCATTGACTTCAACCTCTAATGGAGCATTAACATCTGAACTTGGGATGGAATTCACTTCGAGTGCGGTCAACAAACTGGAGGATACAGTACGTCTTGACATTACGATTTGTCCAATATGAGCCAACATGGCTCAGGATCTTCTTGACGAAGACCTTCTGGTCATCTAACGAGTTGGTCTACTAGCAGCCGTACGGCTGACATTATTTTGTCTACTTCACGGTAGCATTATCATTGAGGCATTCGTGCAGGTTTGGTTAGGATAACTATTCAATGAAATATCTTCTAACTTGAGGATGTGTTTGCCTAAGGTAGGTTCATCTGAAACAGTCGAGGTATCAGGGAAAGGTTCGTAATCAATCACACCAACCAAAATCGCAGTGGTTGATCTCATCGTCTGATTTATGGTATTGGTTATATTGGCGAGGTAAGTGTTGTCCAGATTGTGCCTGACTTCAAGGACATATTCGTTTGGTTCTCTATCACCTAACCTTTCCTCAATTTTAAATTCAAGAACGGAAAGACCGTTCACATTTCTGACAGTTTGTGTCGTAGAACCGGAAACAACAACATTGAGACCTATCGTTGGAATGTCATCGTATTCTAAATCGAGCATTTTTATGGAGGTAGCGTTAACCTGCGACAAAAAAGAATTAATATTAATTTTTTTATAAATATCAAAAATAATTTGATGATAAATTTCTTTATTCTCATTTGTATCACTTACAAAGTACCAATCATCACAAGCTATGAACTTTTCTTTTAAACAATTTACGTCGCCAACCTCGTAAGGTTTAATTTCTGTTGGAGCCGTTCAATCGGTTGGAATGAAAGCTTTGATCTGCAGGAATGCTATCTTGTTAGAGTCAATGTCGTCAAGCCTAACGATGCCAGTGAATTCTTTAATGGTATAGCTGACAGTTTGCCTTTCTCAGGAATCGTGAATGTAGCAAAAAGTGATCAATTTTGAAGGCATTTTCTCTTACAACAAAAGAAAAATAAAATAAAAAAATATTCGTATTTAAAAAGTTAAGAAAGGAGGAAAAAAAATACTTTTTTTTTCGCAACTTATATATTAATTAAACCGATATCAATAAATCTTTTTATCTGCAAAATCTACATGAAAAAAAAAGATTTTAATAAATGTTATCATTACACGCAAAAGATAATCATATGAACATCTCGAATACAAAATTTGTATATAAAGGACATGCATACGGAGGGATGGAGGGTGAGCATTTCTATCTAAGATAATGAAATTATGATTAGGATTATCAGGTAGATTCATAGTAGGATTACTCTTACTAGGAAGCAAAAACATGGAGAAGTATTTGCCTAATACGGATGAGTAAATCATTCCATAAAAGAGTATTTCTTGCAAGTGTTTTGAAGATCATTAATATAAATAAAATCAAAATGAAGTATTAAAAAATGATCATTGCTTTATTAAGAATATTGTGTATCGGACGAATTTTTGTGTATCGAACGTATCGAACCCGATCAGGAAAAATAATTACTAGTGTTTTCTTTTCTTCGATAATTTTGATATGCCGATTTTTTAAAATTTATATTTGCCTGAAAATCATGCCAAAAAAGCCATTGGTTAAATTATTTGTTAATTCTTTTTTTGTCGGAGTAGAATAGACATGTTCTAATTAATAATAAAAGTACATTAAAATTAAAATTTTATTAATGCAAAACTTTAACAAGGATTCTTATCCTTTGGGACGTTGTCTTTTGCTATTAAAACCATAACGTGATTTAATAGCATATTTTACTCGTTAAAAATATATATTATTTATTAAAATAATAAAATTAGAATTTTTAAACTTTTTAATTTCGTTTATTATTTAATTTTAGCGAAAAATTGAAAATAAATAACTTTGTCTTAAATTTATATAAATAAAATTTCGTCCACGGATTTGGCGTTGGATTTCTTTTTTGTTGTTCACTAGTATCCGAATTGTCAGAATCAGGAATTTGTTTGGCTCTATCTTCTAAGGCTTTAATTTTACTTTCAAATAAAATTTATTTTAAATTTAAAACAAAACCGTGATAAGTGGTGATGTCACATGACGAGAATAATTTATCATCATTACGTTTTAACTGTCGAAATATTTTATCATTCATATTATGAAACTAATAAATCTTACAAGATTAATCTACCAAATTTTAAATCTACATCGCGCTAAATTTGTTGAATTTCTTGACTACGGAAATAATAACTAGGAAGTATGACGTAGTTTATGACATTGATGCTTTTAGATTCTCAAGAGGATGTCTATCACTTGAATGATACAACAGAATAATTAAAAAAATTTTTTTGTCAGAAAAATTTATGCTTTCTTAAAATAGTGAAAAATAGGAAGATGACTATAATGATAGTTTATTCTGAAATATTCTTGACTGATTTGACGATAAGAAAAAGAAGCAAACTTATCATTTAGAGTAAATCAAGATCAACAAACTGCGTTAATTAGTTTTGTTGGTTGTTTAATCATTTTAAAATGTATAATTCTGGTTTATGATTTTTCTAAACCTGAAGACGAATACTCCTTCTAAAGTTGAGATTTATCTTAAAATTAATGATTGTTGCTTGTCAACTGTTTATTTATAAAATAAAATGAAATCAAAATATTGAATAAACATGTGTAAAATATTTTTGCTTAGTAAAAATGTTATTAATATTTATAATTAAAAGTTTAAACAACTGAAATTAAATTTCAAATCATTCTTTCTTTGTTTTATCTTCTTTGCTTTTACTAAAGATTAATTTTCCAATCTTAATAACACCCCAAATAAATACAGCGAAAGCGCCAATAACAATTCCTATAGCAGCAGCATAAACATCCAAATAATTTCCTTTAATGAATCCCATTCTACTTTTTGGAGAAATCCACTCTTTATACAACCATTCGTCGTTCAACTCTTCCATTGGGTTCCACACTGAACATTGCAAGACGTACTCAATCAAATCGGCGGCTCTATATTTCCTTTTACTATTAATTTTAGCCAAAGTTTTAATTCTTTTCACGTTTATTTGTATCGTTTCATCTTTTTGCAAAATTTCGGCCTTATCTAAAACTTCATTTACTTGGAGGTTATATTTATCCAACCGTAAAGCAACACCGGCTAACACCAATTTTTCAGCATTACCAGGTTGATCCAAGGAAATTGGTAATGCAAGTATTGGCGTTCCAGTAAATAATGATTCATATACACTTCCAGACCCTGCGTGACTTAAGAATACTTTTACATTAGTATGATTTAATATGGCAAATTGAGGTGCATAAGAAGTTATATGAATATTTGGATATTTATTATTTAATACATCCAGAGTTGAAATGTTTCTACCATCCAATAACGTAATTGAAGGTGGGAAATCTTCCTTTTTGGTTTGAACTAGAGACCAAATAACTCCATCAACTACATTGTTTTCAACGGTTTCAACAACGGATTGCAATAATTTCATGTTGTTTTCAGGCGTTAGATATATGTGCGTTCCTAATGCTACAAACATCGTACGTTTATGCTCCGTTATAAATTTTTCGAGATCCGGTGTCAATGGAGGAAAATATTCTGGCAAAAGTGGGCCTATAACCTAAAAAAAAAAAGAAATGAAAGAAAAAATTTATTATTATTTGAGACGTACCAACCACATATTAAGTTAATTAATGCGTCATAAATTTAAGTAAATGACTTGCCTGAACATTTGGAAGTATGGGATGTGCAATCTAATTATATTATATAAGAGTGAGTGATGTTATTTTAAGTAACCTTGATCGATTCAAATCTAATGGTCTTTTACACAATCGTTTACGTACCTCAACACCAAAGAAATTGTCAACCAAAAACAAAGAATTTTTCCAATGTTCAAATGGAGTACTGTAGCTTGGTAATCCAAGACCAACTCTGATTTCATTAAATCTTTTAAAAGCGGGTAATAATTTCATCATAAATTTAATGGATGCAAAAATTTCGCAATTAAATCTTTGCCAAAATGATTCGTGTTCCAAGCTAACTTTGCATCCAAGCATAGGGTCTGATTTGTAAGGAGTATGCACTCCTCCTAAAATAATACAATAATTATTGTAATTTAAATATATGTTAAAAGGAAATGCGCGAGAAATAAGCTTTATACCTGGAAACATAGTCGCTATCCCAATTGATGGCTTCTTCATTATCCAAGCGACATCAAAACATGCTGTATTGTACAATGCGGTACAAAGGAATAAATCTGGTTTAACCAGTTCTTCAGAAATTTTCTTTGTCTTAAAAAAGGTTTCATTATAAATTTCGGTATTACTTTCTATCAAGTTGACAGCCGCCGAAATGTCAAAATTTCCGTAAACTACATCTTTTTTATATTTTATATCTACTGAATCACCGAGTGAAACAAAGTTAATTTTTGGATATTGTGGTGATTGCGGAAATGTTCCCGTTGTAGAAAAAGTGACCTTTGGAAACAAAAAAAAAGTGTAAACAATTGATTGAGATAATAATTAATTAACTTTAATTGTTTGCTTACATTATAGCCACGATCAGCCAAGACGTTTCCAATCGTCAAAGTGTATCGAATATGGCTCCATCCTACAATTTAACGTAACGAATTAATAAAAAAATTCTTTCTTAAAAAAGACAAAAAAAGTTTACCTTCTAAGCTAGATATAATCATTATATTTTTTGGAATTTCATTACGATCAATGTCCGTTTCTCTAGGAAGCCATCCGCTTATTGGGGGACTTTCCACCATGGTGTCACCAGCAACATTACAGATCGAATTGCAAAGAATTATGAAGAGGAAGAACCCCGGTAAGAATAATTGTTTGATTAACATCGAGAAAATTAATAAAGGAAAATTTGCAAAAAAAAAGAAAGAAAAAGAGAAATATTTATATAGGTGATGAGTATAAGAATACTTTTTATATGATCCAATTAAATACATTTTTATTGTGATAATGATGACAAATACAAATGAATTTATGCTAGAATAATCTATGATTATCAATTCAATTATGCCAATTTTAAATCGGTCCGATATTGATTTATTTTTTTCATTATCGTAATAAAATACTCGAATAATATGATTTTGAAATGAATTTAATGAATTTGGCGCAGTGCAGTTTCGAAGACGGAAATGGATCATCAAACTATATTAGGCAATCACTTCTTATGCCGATTGGGAAGGATTCGCTTATACAACATGATTATCCTTTAGCAATTATTGGTAATAAGGATGCGACTCCAATGACATTTGATTTACAAAGTAATATACTATTGATGAATTGGGAGCAAAAACTTTTAGAATATATGGGAGGTTTGCCATTTTCGGATTATGACCTTAGGAATTTGTCACACCGTGTCACTCCCTCATTTTTACGCAGTGAATAAAATTCACGTGCACAATGTGCACGTGTGCACATGATTTTTTAGTGTGCACAATTTTTTAAAATTTAATGCACAAAAAAAATTTTATATAGTGCATAATTTTGTGCACAAAAAAATCTATAATGCACAATTTATGCATAACTTTATAAATAGAAATTTAAATAAATTATGTTTATTAAATTCTTTACAAAATCTTTCGCGTTTTTTAAATATTTCATTTATTAATATGGCTGATATTACTAAATTGTATACATGAGATTTTTTTCGGATTTTAAACACTTCACTTGTTAAGTTCTATAATGTTGACCAAAAATTAATGTAGTTAAAATTATTTTTGTGGTGATGGTTCAATCACATAATTATTTATCTATGAAGAAATCTTTCCTACAGTATAATTGCCAATCAAATTCAATTAAATCAGTCATTATTTACTTTTCTAGAAAACAAAGGTTGTTCATAAAAAATAACTAGTTATTGGATTCTTTAGAGTATTACAATAACTAACTTTTTGCAAAAATAAGCTTTTTTAGAAAGTATAGTTGACCTCCTCTACAGTTACCAGTCACTCTCTGTACAATCATATTATATAAATCCTTTGTTATATATACACCTTTCATAAAACCAGTTCCTATTAATACTATATAAAAAACCCCTTTTATAATCACAATGCTTTTATAGCATAAAAACCTTTTATATAATTACTTTTCACTATAGTCACATACATTTTATTTTTAGTCTCAAGGGATGTGATAGTAAAGGTAATTGACTGTATACTTAAACTCTATATTGCTACCATATTGCTATAATCATTAAACTCAAGAGACCTTATATTATTAAAATTTGCATAAAACTTTTAATACTTAAAAAAAAAGTTACAAAAATAATGTTTAAAAGAGCAAAAAAAAAATATGAAACACTTTTTGAATATACTAAAGAAAATGAAATTACCATTATAATATAGTTAATGTTAACTAATATACTAATGAAAGGAAAAAATTATATTTTTTAATTATGAAATAATTATAAAATTTCTCTATAAAATAGAATTTGTTAAAACAATTTTCATTATATACATTTGAAGAATTTTATATTGTAATAAAATCTAAATATAAATAATTAAAAGGTTTTGTTGATAAACTATATTTTTTCAACAAATTTATTATCAAAAAAATATAAATATAAAATAAAAGCATTTAAGTATCTATTTATGATATCTAAAACAAATATATTTATTATATAAAAAAATTAGAAATATATATAAATACAAGTATTTTTGATACCACAATTAATACTTTAAAGATAATAGGATTAATACAGATTTCACATAAATTACTTATTAAAAATAAGATAAAGTATCTGATGCATATCATTAAACTATTAATAATATACTTTTAAATAGTACAGTAATACTAATAATATTAAATCTTAATTAAAGAAATTAACAGTTTATAATTATGATATTTAATTTAAAGAAAATAAAGTCTCAAGATTAATGAAGAATATCATATTAGTAGATTTACAAAAAAATACATTTATTTGAAAATTTTAAATAAATATTAGATATAGTATTTTTGTATCTGTAAAAAGAAAATATTATTCTAATTGTAATAGATTATCCTGATAAAATATTTATTGGAATATTAATTTTGCAAATATTTTATTTTTATAAACATTCTAAATTTCCTATAACTATCTTATTTCTTTTTCTATTATAAGACTATTATATATTTCTTAATAGCTAAAATTATATTAACTATTTTTTGTAATATTATATCAATATATTATTTATAATCTAAGAAATCAAGTTTTTCAAAACATTTTATTTGTATTTTAATTTTATTATATTTAAATTAAAATTAAAATATTAATTTTTAATCAAAATTTTTAAAATATAATTTTTTAGATCACAATCCATTCTTTTAAAAAAAAACTACTTATTCAAATATTATTAAAAATGATCTACAAAGATTATTAATTAATTTACAAGAGTTACTGGAATTAATTTTATGTTAATCATAAAATTAGAGGATCTACATAATTTCTGATCTGGCTGATTTTCAGTATAGTTGTTATTAGGGTTTCGCAATTTGATTTAATATTTGAATATTTGATTTGATTAGATCACATTCAAATCAAAGAATGGTTTATTGGATCAAATTCAAATTAATGTTTGATTCGATTCGATCAAATTCAAATCAAGTATTCAAATATTTGATTTAATTTGAATCAATAGTAAAGCTATCTCTAAAGCTTCAAGAGTGACTCTTACTAAGAAACCTATAGTAAAAAGCGCTTGCAACTTCAGAAATGCTTTTGCAGCTTCAGAAATGCCTTTTTTACTAAGAAAACCATAGTAAAATTGCTTCTGTAGCTTCAGAAATGCATTTTTACTAAGAAAAATATAGTAAAAAATGACTTTACGACTTTAGAGACATTATTTTACTAAGAAAATATAGTAAAAAATGACTCTGCAGCTTCAGAGATGCTATTTTACTAAGAAAATATAGTAAAAATGCTTTCACAACTTCAGAGACGTTTTTTATTAAAAAACATAGTAAAAAACGTGTCTGCAACTTTAGAAACATTTTTTACTAATAAAATTATTACGAAGCTGAGATGGCAGTTATTACTAAGTTTTTGTTAGTAAACTGAAACTGCAATGGCAGTTATGACTAAGATTTTTAGTAAAACTGAAATTGCAAAGTTATTTTACTAAGTTAAATAATAAAAATTTACTGTTACTAAACTTACTTTGTAAAAGCTATCATTGAAATTTTTTAGTATGATTACTAATAATTTCTTAATTAAAACTTTAGAATAACTTTTTTTAATATATCATTGCAAAAATTAAAAAAAAATTTATATTCAATTTGATTTGATCAAATATTTGATTTAATTTGATTTGATTCGATCAAATTCAAATTGATTCAAATTGATTCAATTAAATATTTGAGTTTAATTCAATTCGATTCAATTCGATTTGAAAAAATCAAATCAAATTCAAATTGCTTAAATATTTGATTCGATTTGATTTTGAGGAATCCTATTCCTTATATTTTAGATTTTGCAAATTAGCCTAATAAGTCTGATATATTTGATTTTTAATATGTTTAATATATTAATTATATTTATTATATTTATTATTACTGATATATTTATTATTTCTCTTATATTATATTTATTTTATTTAATATATTTATTATTTTATTCAAAATTAGTTAATTATAAATAAGGTAGTTTTTCATTAATATAAAAATTAAAATTATAGCAATTCCAAAATATCAATAACTCTAATATTAAGATAAAAAAAATTTAATAAAAAAATTAATATTATATTATAGAATCAATAATTTTATAATTTATAGTGTAACAATACATACAATAAGGATTAACAGAAGTATAATAGAAATCACAAAGAAAATCATGTAATAAAAGAAAGAATATTATTTTATTAAGAAAAAGAAAATATTCAAATAAATTACAGAATGAAAAGAAAGATTACACAAAAAAATAAATTACAGAAAGAAATAATTCAGATAAATTAGTTACTGAAAGAAAAAGGATAATTAAAGACCAAATAGAGAGTCAAGTAATCAGATAATTAATAAACTGAATAGAGAATCTTAAAGAAAGACTTAGAAAATATTTGAAAATAATAATTAAAAAAGTAACACAAATATGCAGGAAGGTTATACAAAAGACACAACAGTTAGGAATAATAAACTGGATTTATGAAAGCTTATATAATATAAAGTTAACATATGATATCAGAATGATAAATGTTACAAGAAGAAATTATAGGAAAAAGAAAAAGGAAATATTAAAAATAATAAAAGTAATACATAACATCATAATAGAAAATGTTACAAGAAGAAATTATAGGAAATTATAGGAATAGAATTAGAAAAATTATATAAGAACAAAATTAGTAAATTATAAGAATAGAATTAGTAAAGTTACAAGAAATGAATTAGAAAGTAATAGGAACAAATAAAGTAAAAATAATAGAAATTAATAAAAATTATAGAACCTTAAATATTATATAGTAAATAATTGGATTATTTATTACAGGTAATTACTATTCATCACTGTTATTATGTAAAATTCTTATATAAATCTTTTAAATATAATTAAGAAATGTAGTTCATTTTTTTCCTTTGATATAAAAAAAATTATTTTAATAAATAAATTTTTAAACACAAATAAAATAAATACTTTTGTTTGAAATGATTAGTTGTTGAACAACAAAATCATAAAAATAAATAAAGTTATTTTATTAGTATATAAATAATAAATTAAAAGAAGTTAAAGAAATTATGTCAAAATAAAATTAAAGAATTATTTTATTAAAGTTATAAAAAAATAAAAGAGTAGAAATAATTAAGAAAATATTATAGAAAGAATATCATAATGTCAAAAAATAATTATTAAAATAATGATAATAATATAAGAAAAATATTAACAGAAAAGAAATTACCAAAAGAATTATAAGAATTTATAGAAAAAATATTACAAGAAGAAAATCAGATACCGATTATACAAAAATCGATCAATAAAAAAGTATTTCCAGTGTAGACTTCATAATAAAGTGCATCATTCACAAACGCTATCGATACCAAAGAGAAGAAGTATTTAAAAGAAAGAAAGATGATGAATGGAATAACTTCTAAAGGAAAAGGAAGCACGCTAACACACGTCATCATGAAGTAAGTAAACAGTTGGATTAGTTGTTAAAATAACTTATTTTAAATATTTTTTTTAAAAAAAATATTAGAAACGAGAATGATGAGCAAGAACTAATGATAGATATATTAGATTAAAGAACCATCTGTTGGAAAAATTTATAATGATGAACTCCAACCAGTTCGAACCAATAATCGATATTATAGCCCAGAGGTTTCAGAAACTGACGATGAAATCCTAATAAAGAAAAATCGTCATTCAGAAACCCAAATGGTGATCATCCACAGTAAGTAATTTTTATTTTATTTTTATCAATTAGGTTGTATTAATTTATTCTTTTTATTTCTAATAGTTGCAGTTATTTTTGCGAGATTATGTGGATAATGAAGACTCTAAATCATCAAAAGCACACAGAACTAGAAAAAAAATATATGATAATACCTAATTGTGGCTGGTGAAAATGAAGCACTGGTAAATGCTTCTAAATAAACAAGATCTGGATATACTAGATCATTAAGGTCGTTAGTAAAAAAACATATTTCACATCATTTCAAAAGCAATAATCAGAAATCCGATAGTTCCAAGTATTTTAAATATCAGAAACCCATTCAGGAGGAAACTACTCAAGAGGAAATATTTCAGGAGGATTCCGATCATAGAGAAAATCTAATAGTGAAGATAAATCTAATAGTAAAAATAAATCCAATCGTGAAGAGGAATCTGATAAAATAATGATGATAATGAAGATGAAAATAACAAAAAAAAGAGAATTAGAAAGAGTAAAAGTGTGGTATCTTTCAAATATGATAGTAGTAGTACAGATTATAATGATAGATAGAAATCGGTAGATTTTATAATATATACTGAATAAATCGATAAAATTTTAAATATATTTAAATTTATATAAATTGTATCAATCGGGATATTTCATATTAATAAAAATTCTTTTTATTATAATTAATCAGAATTACTTATTGGTATAAAATATTATTACGAGTATTAAATAAATTTGATAAAATGTTACCAATCAGAATACGTTATTTGTATAATATTAAAAAAAAATCAATAAGAATATTCCTATTGATAACTTAGGGATAATCTGATTAGAAACTGAATGTTAATAAATTGATATTAATAAGAATAACCCTATTGATATCTTTATAATACCCCATTGGAACCTTATTGTATCTTATCTACGCCATTATTCGTCATCAATCAGAATTACCTGATTCTAAAAAAACAAAAAAATAGGGAACCAATCAGGTCAAATCTGATAACCTAGATTTAACCTGATTGGTCCCCTATTTATTATCATTCGACTAGTGAATACTACTGAAATTATGGTATATTGTAAAATTTAACTTTATAAAATAAAAGAAATATAATAAGAAGAAATATAATAAGAAGAAATATAATAATAAAAGAAAGATAAATAATAATAGAAAGAAGATAATGTAATAATAGAAGAAAAGTTAAATAACAATAATATTGTAAAGAAATTATAAGATAAATTATCACTCAAAATATAGAAATGAATTATCAGCAATTAAATATTAATTTGTAAAACAAATCCATTTGATAACAAGTGACAAAAATGGTCAAAAAAGATACAAATTATATTAAAGCTTTTGAACTCAAAGATAGCATAAATTTGTATAATAAGAGTTATGGTAATTATAGTATAAATTTTTCATTTTTTTCGTATTTTTCATCTAGAATTTTAATGTAATACTTTATATTAACCTAGATATTTTAATTAATTAGTCATAATTTACCTATTATTTTATAAAGAAATTATAATAAAATAGAAATATACATTATCAGTTCAAAAAGTTAAGCTTTTTAAAATACTTATAAGATGTAAAATTTCCTAAGATTAGAAATTTTGCAAGAGTTATTTGTCTTATATCATGGGTGATAACAGCTAATTCTTTGATAAAAAACAGAATATTTAGAATTATATTAACAAATGAAATGAATTATTATCATATAAAAGATAGAAATGAAATTTTTATACTAACAAAAATATATAGTTTTTATATTATTCCTTTTTATATTCTTTTATATATAACTTATTTAATTCTTTTTATAGATGAATATATTGCAAAATTTTATAGCAGTCTTTTATATTCTACAATCCTTTCTAATTATTTAAATATATAAATATTTTAAATAAATTATAAAAATATGAAAAAATACATATAGGAAAGTATAATTAGTATTAACTATTTTTACAAAATTATTTATGAAAATTCTAATACAATAAATTTTATTTTTTTTATTTAATCAAATTACAGGTTAATATTTAGTTAGATCCTATTAGCTGCAAGAATAGCTTGAATCTGACATAGTATTAACTTACTTAAATTGTAATAATAATTTATAGATATTATATTTTATTCCTCTTTAACTAATGTTTTTAATTGTATAATATTTGATAGCTGTGATAATACATAAAGTCGAAATGGATCATTTCGGATATTCAAAATGGTCGAAATAGTCGAAATCATTTCGACCATTGAAGGCTAAAGTCACGAAATAGTCAAAATGACGTCATATTACATGATTATTCATATTGAGAAAAAACAAAAAACAAAAAATGTACGATCTCAGTCAATATTGCTCCAAGTCGTATGAAACAACTACCATTCGATTTTTCGAAACTAGGCGGATCCAATGAGCTAACATTCATTGATTTCGGATCATCCAATCACGAGATACTCACAATTGTATTATCATCTGAAATTATAAATCAATAAATTTTACTTTAAATAAAGGAGTCTGGATTTTGAAATACGATCGCAAATATCTTGAGATGGAATGATCCAAAATCAATGATTGTTAGCTCATTGGATTCGTCTAGTCGCGAGGAATCGAATGGTAGTTTTTTAATACGAATTGGAGTGATATTGACCGAGATCATACATCTTTTGTTTTTTTTTGTTTTTTCTATATATAAAAAATCATGTGATATGACGTAATTTCGACCATTTCGACTTCTCATTTCGACTTTGACCTCCAAAGTCGAAACATTTCGACTTTTGGGTTTTCATTTCGACTTCATGTATAATAATAACAAATAATAGAAGTAATATAAAAAAAGTAGATTAATTGACTATTTTTTATTTTCTATACATAGTATATACTTTGCAATTAATAGTTGAAAAGAATCTTAAATTAGTAAAAACACTAGTTTTTAAGGCAAAAAATTATTTGATTTTTAATATATCATTAAAGTAATATAAATATTTATAGACTATGTAAGAACTTCTTGAATATGCTTTAATAAAACATGTAATTAATAATATTTTTACATGTTAAAACTCTACTTTTTATATATAGGAATGGTTAACTAAGTTTAAACAAGCTATAAAATTCTTATCAGGTCAACTTAAATCAGATTTAAATAAAAATGCGTAAAAAAATAAAAAAATCATGCTTTTTGATGATGCGTGAAAATTAATAGAAGATTTACTTAATCTTTTATCTATATTTGAAAATGTTATAAAATTACTAAGTGATGTAAAGTATTGTATAATTTCATTAATGTATCTAATAATTGCAACTTTAAAACCTAAAACTCAACCATCATTAAATTTGAGCTGGATTTTTAAGATAATTTAACAGAGAATTTATCTGATAATTTTGATGAAGAAATTATTATTTTAGATAGTGCAGAAGTTATTATTGCTAATAATGAGAATGAAATAAAAATAGAAGTTATTGATCTAACTTCTGTAATAAGTTATGGTAAAAAAAACTAATATTTCTGAATATTCAAAAGATTCTTTATAGTTCAATGTTTAGTTATTAGAGAAACATCCATAAAGTCAATATTAGCATTCTTTTTGATTCACTTTTTCAAAAACTAAATGGTAATGTATAAAGTAATTAATAATCTTAATAAAGTTCAATCTGATTATGATAAATCTTAAAAAAAATGAAGAAGGCAAAGAAACAGACCCTCTTGAGTGGTGGAAATTACATGAAAAAAAGTTTCCAATTTTGGTTTCAATTGTATATAAATATTTGGGTATTTGTGCAAAATCTGTTCCTTCAGAATGAAAATTTTCAGATATTAGTAATAACATTACAAATAAGCGAATAAATATTGATCCTAATTTAGTTGAACAAATCCTTTTTTAAAGTGAAATATAAATGTTTTAGGTAGTATTTTCCCTTCACCTGAATTTTAATTTTGTAATATTGTAAATATTTAAATAATTACTGTAAATAAAAATTTATGTTTACATTAATTTATTTTATCAAATTCCATATTAATTGAATTAATTGAATAATTACGAATAATGTTAACGAATTAATTTATTAACATTATTCGAATATTATCCAGATAATATTCGAATACACTTTTTAAATACTCGAGTATATTTGAATATATTCGATTCCAAACACTAAGTTACGTTAAAGGTTAGGAATTGTAGCAGACATTCTTGTTTTGAAATTATTATATAATAGTCATTTACAGAAATCCCAAATATTACTGTATTAATAAAGAATACAACTTCAAAAAAATCGTCAGAATTTCAGAAATTGAAATTCGTCAGAAATAACATGTTAAAAAACTCATACTTTATTCATGGATTTATGTCAGTATAACTCGTTACTAAGTATTTATCAAGTTGCGATCGATAAAAAAGTTAATCAGCACTACGTGTCTCATAACTGCGGTACTATCGTGATCAGTAAAATTGGCTTATTGCAAATACCACATATTATTAATCATGCGTTTTTTTTCTCTTTCTTTTTTATGTCATGTTATTATGCCAGTGGTATGATTTAGTAAAGTCATTCATTGAAACATGCGACATTAGACACAAGACATAACACCTGATAGGACAAATTTGTTGAACGAAAAGTTTTAATAATAGGGTTCTAATTATAAATAAAAAGAAAAAATGTTATGGCCAGAGGAAAACTAGATAATCCAAAAAAAAGAATAATCACTCCTATTGTAAATGTAACAAAAAATTTTAAAAAGTATGGAAAATAATAAAATTACGAGGAAAAACCTAAATACTAATACAAAAGAAGTAAGCAAAAATACGAAATTAAATTTGCTTTCTACTTGGACTAAGAAAAAGATGGCTAGTTTATTATTGATGATTTGGTTATCGGTTAATGGAGTAAATGGTGGAGAAAATCTCAAAGAATGTGTAAGTCATGATACAGGATTCTACAGTCAATATGATACAGTGGTGAAGTTTGCTAGTAACATAGCTGATAAACAATTATTTTGTTGTAATGTTCCTATCGGTAGTACAGATGTAGGTTGTTCTCCCATGTCTCCTAATTGTCCTTATTATCCTAATTATTTTCGCGGACAATGTAATACAATTGGTCAATCTAAATTTTGTGTTACTCAAGCTCCTAGGGGATTTTATGTTCAACTTACAAGCGAAAAAATTAAACTGCCAGGTGGTTTATGTGGCGGTATAATCGGCAATAATTCTCCTACTAATGCAACAGTTGGAGAATGTCCCAACGCAAATGCTATAAGTAATACTTTAGTGAACCAAAGAACAGCTGCAACATTTAGTTGGTTATGTTGTGATAAAGATACTTGCAAGGTTCCGGCTAATGTGCAAGTAACAAACACATTGTCAGCTATCACTGGTTGTTTAAGTGATGAATGGAGCATGATGTGCTTTAATGACAATGGTGGTTGGAGTTGTACCGGTAATGTAAGCCCTAATATTGAAAACATTACTCTTCCAATAGGTAGTTGCGTAATGCAAGTAGTTTTTCCGGGAAGTGATACTGCTAGTCCCAGTTCTACCAGTTATGTTTCAAAACCGACTAGCACAGGAAATTCTGGACAGGACTCCTCAAATCCTCCTTCGATGAAATCGATTTTAAAGATCGTGATATCAGTCTTGGGAGTTTTGATTGTATTAGCAGTAATTATCTATGTCATTTTCGCGAGAAATAGAAATGTTCCTAGTCCTAACGTGCAACCGAACCCTGAACTTGGAGGGGGATACATCCATCACCATCATGAAGAATGGACCGAATATAGGAACAATTAGAGTAAATTAATGAGACCATTTTTAATAAAAAGGCAATGATTATGTAATTTATGTCAAATTATCAGTCAATAATTTGAAAGAATTATAATTTAATTTTATAGTATATCTAAGCAAATCATACAGTAAATAATCAGTAATTTATTTAACTTAATCGAATTATAATAAAACTTACCCTATTGTTTTCAATCGAATTAGTGTATTCATTAATGTTAATATACTCGACATGGAGCTTTAAGTCTCATCAAAAAATCAGTAGTACCTCTTTATGGTATCCCCTTTAAAAAATACCCCCAGTTAATTGTACCCGAGTACCATATTAATTATACAGCTCAAAATCCAAAATGTATGAGTTTCGTTTGTCCCAATAATCGATATTCTGAAATGAACGTTACACTTTTATGAGACATTAAATAAATTGACAATTAACCCTAGTAAACCCTCGCCGTCGTGATAGTAAAGTTCTCAGAAACTGTACGAACAAAAATGTCGATAGTTTGCAAGTGCAATCGTTTCATTGCAAAAGCACAGAAACGACCGAAAATATCTTATTGCGTAATGTACTTTATGATATCAGATATGTTTTTTTTTACATTCCGGTACGTTAGTTCGTATTGACTATTGAGTAAGGGTATATATACATATAATCTGTACTGTATGGTCAGGTGAACTGTACTTTACGAAAGTGATTACAACCAATTATATTTCATTGTATGAATTATACTTATGAAAGAGGTGAGGTGTTAAGACAAATAGAGATCAGACGCGTACCAAAACCAAATTTAGAAAGGCGAGCATGACTTAAAGGTATTATTTTTTATTCTTCTGGACTCTGAAATGTATTTTAAATAATTTTCACAATGAAGGAACCCAAACAAGACCAAGTGAAAAACGTTAAAGAGATGTTGTGGGGTGGCAGTTTCTCTAACCTCAACAATAATATCTATGTGTTCAATATCAACAACAATCTTAATATTATAATTCAAGTAGCAAATGTCCATATCGCACAAATTTTTTTATAGATGGTAATAATGCTGTTATTCATTCTTCGGATTCTTATATTCAATTTCTTGACAATGTGACTATATTATGTATAGATGGAATCAAAAGGTTTTGCATTGAGGCGGAAATAACAACAAGCAGTAATGAGGGGTGCTCTTTGTCTCAACTACCAAGTTATCTGAGAAGGAACCATCTTAACATAATTTCAATTTCAATTATCTTCATGATTTGTATACTTAATAAATGATAGAAAATATTGATTAAAAGTGATTTCAGAATAAAATCATATATTTTAAAATTAGCAAAATCAAATTCTTTATTAATGTTTATATCTTTTATTGATAAAAGAGCGATGAATGAGTAGCAGACGTTATTGAAAGGAATTAAAATATGAAAAATCATGTAATATAAAATATCATATTCTTTTATTATTAAGTTCAGTATTAATTTTGCCAAGTTCTGCAGTGAAAAAAAAGTTAATTTCAAATATACATGAGAATTTTATTAGTGATTTTAGTATCATATGCAGGGCTCAAATAAGGCTGCAACTTCATCTTTCTCTCAAATAATAAAAAATTAGATAAATATTATATAGAAAGGAAGTTTAAGTATTGAATCCTATATTAACAAAGTTATATTCAAATACAACTACTTCAGTTGATCCCTTTCATTTACTATTTACATATTATTACCAAAATAACATTTAGCAATTGATTGTACTTCTTCTTCTGTAAAATCACAAATTTTATAAAATTGTGATCTTTCTGAAATATTATCTAATATAAGAAATAGACTTAACCCTGCATGGAATGCAAGAATAACTTCTATAATATATATATCAATAGGTTACAGCACTCTCTTTTGATTACTACAAAAAAAAATTATATTAAAAAATTGCATTCTGCATCATTCAGAATATGAACTTCATGTTTGAATACGTAGATGTTACCTGGAGTATCATATTCATAAACTTTAATAAAGAGTTTTAAGACGTTTGCTTATGGTAGACTTTATAATTATTAAGATATATCAAAAAGCATATATACAAGACAAATATAGAAAATATGAAAAATACAAATAATATAATTTATTATAATATTTTGAAGAAATATAGAGGCTTGCTTGATAATTAATTTATATATATTTGGATATTTTAGCTCTTCATTATATTTTTCAATAAAATTTCACAATACATGATTAATATTCCTATTAAAACTGTTCTCTATTATCTTAATAAGAATGAATAATAATAGATAAAAAATCAAATTTAAGAATTAACCATTTATTTTGTAAATTCTTAAAATGATATCTAATATAAAATGATCCAAAAAGCTGAGAAAATTGTTAGCATTTTTAATATTCTAATATTGGTAGAGTATATCAAGAAAGGCTGATTTTCCAAATCTATGTGATCTAAGAAAAAGAATTCTAAACTTCAAATCTTTCTCTTTTAGTTTCTTAATATATATAGTTTTTTTAACAAACAATATTCATATCTTAAAATGGAAACCTATAAAGTTAGGATTGCAATATAAGATTATTATATATAAAATTTAAAAACAAAAATTAGTAATTTAACAATAGTAAGTTATAACAATTTAAGATCATACTTTTTTATTTGTCATTATTTTATTTTTCGCAACGATCTTAAAAGTAATAAAAGTTTCTTTCAAAGACTTAAAATTAAAAATTAAAGCATCAATTTTATTTTAGCCTGC